GCATGCTACAGGCAATAATCTCCACCAGCCAAGTGGGTGCCCATTACCAAGCATGTGTACCCACCTTCTAGGATGGCCCCAAAACAGTAGATATACAAGCAACGTTCTTGCAGAGCATGGTGATGCATGCCTGCTAATTCCGTTGCTCAGAAGTAGAGGCAAGAGGATCAGGATTCAAAGTCAGCCTGGGCTACATGAGACCTTGTTTCAAATCACACACATACACATACAAACACATATCCATATACCTATACACAAATACATATATCTATCCCACATGTACACACAAACACACACATACCTCTCACATACCTACACCTACACATATACCTCTACATGTATGCATGTGTTGTAGGAGGAAGCTGTTCTTTTGTTCTCAGCTGCCCAGACATGAAATAATCACATAGAAACTATATTAATTAAATCACTCCTTGGCCTATTAGCTCTAACTTCTCTGGCTAGCTCTTACATCTTGAATTAACTCATTTCTATTATTTTTCACTTTATCATGATGCTTGTGGTTTAACTGCAAGGTTCTGGTGCATCTTTCCCCAGCAGTGGCTACACAGCTGCCCTCTGACTCTGCCGTCTTTCTCCCAGCATTCAGTTTAGTTTCCCCCACCTACCTCTATTCTGCCCTGCCAGGCCCAGGACAGCTGTTAGTTATCCAATGGCATTCACAGAGGGAAATTCCACATCACCTTCCCTTTCTGTCTAAATAAAAAGGAAGGTTTTAACTTTAACATAAAAAAATTCCATATAACAAAACAGGTATCAAACAAGAATTTCAGTTACAATATTTATATCTACTTTATCTTTTATTATAACTAAGGAAAACTATAATTATAACTATTCTCCAACTCCATCAAAGACTTCCAGAAGGATATAATATTACCTAAATTAACAGGAAGTGCATTGTAAGCAACTTCCAAAACTCCAGAATTGATGGAGACATCTCGTTGCCTGGCAGTCACCCAAAGTTCTTTTGTAACATTGGGGCATCCATCTTCAGCCCACAGGTCCATAGTATCCAGGATACTTTTTCATGAAACAAGAAATTTTAAAGACAGTTCTGCCAATATTGGCAGTTTGTCAGTCACTTTCTTCTGTGTCCTGCAGAATGTCTGGCAGACTCTTCATGAAGCAGGAACCCCAAAGACTGTCTCACCTTCTTTAGGCAGCTTCAGCAGTCATTTTTCTGTGGGTTCTGCAAGTTCAGTTCATACAGCATACCATTGAGCAGTTCAGGCAAGAACATTTCTTGCCCAAATGGCTAACCAACTCCATAAGGAGTTTCTTTGATGCCTATCATCCTCTTGAAGTACATTGGAGCTGCCAGGGACAGATGTGTCTCATTATCATGAAAAGTCATAAGTTATTAAAACATTTTAAATGCCATATTCTGAAGGTCTCTGAAAGATTTGAAGAATACCTATCTAACTGAAATATATCTCTCTCTATATAGAAAGCCTAACTAATATGACTACAAGCTTGACTATTATAGATGACTATTAACCTATACGACTTAATTATGCATTACACTTTAAATGAGCTTTATAAACACCTTAATCAAGAGCAAATACACACACACACACACACACATATTAGCAAAACTGACCTTGAATTTGTATCAATAAACCAAGATCCACATCAATGCACGATATCCATTTCTATAACATATTCCCCTTTAAATGTAAACAAACATTTATAAACAATCATTTAGGGAATTTGGGCATAGCTCTCTCCAAACTGTTTTCTGATTTTTGTTGGGCAAAGTAATTTATAAGGGTGTTAGCAACATTTTAGAGTATCTTGGTCCATAAAACCACATTAGTCTGGAATTTATTCACAGGTTCTCATCTTCTGTGGAAACAAAAGCAGAACCTCTTTTCCAAAGCAACATATCCTTAGACCCAAATTCTGAAGTCAAGATACCTTTAAAATACATAGACTGGTTGGTTTAGTTTAGCAGCTAATACAATGAAATGTCTCTCTGTACTTAGCTCCTGCATAGTCAAAAAATTTAAAGAAATGCAATAATATACATAATCCAGACTCTTGGTGTATATTCCATCTTTACGTGGCTTATTTTTCTTACTTTATTATTTTTTCTACAAGCTTAATATTTATTCTATTATCTTCACTCCTTAAATCTATGACTGACTGTACTCTTTCATATTACATTTACTGTCTCTTTACTCTCTTTCTTCTCTCCCCAAAGCCAATGTACATTTTTTTAAACACACTGTGTCTCATTTAGAGGTCTTTTATGTCTGAATCTGTCCTGTTGTGTATCTGAAATCCTTTTCTGACCAGGAACACTTCTTAAAATGCTAAGCTGTGGCATGACTAAGACTAAGGCTGCTTTGCCTTTTGGCTCCACCCAGTCCCACATGGTGGAGGCATGTTCATTGCCCCTTGCAAGCCACACACACCACCCCAGTTCCAAGTATGCAGTGGGTCTATGTCAAGCCATTAAGCAGTTTGTAACACATTGCTCACAAACCTCATTTAAATGCTTGGTCTCCTGAAAGAGCCAGAGTTCATCCTGGCAGCATGGCCCAGGAAGCTGCTGTTTCAAAACCACACATTTTTGTTGTTGGTGGTCTTTGTTTTCTGCTACTGCTGAATCAGAAAGACTTCTCTTAAGGAAGCTGTGGCATTCCACCAGCTAAAAAAAAAATGTGGCTAAACTTTTTGGTGTGTGTCTATAATTCCTTTTCAAGCTTTCTCAGGTTTTACATGGATGTAGTCAGCCATGTTGGTGGTAGGAGAAAGTTGTTCTTTTTTTCCTGGCTGCTTAGACATGAAATAATCACATAGAAACTATATTAATTAAATCACTCCTTGGTCTATTAGCTCTAGATTCTTATTGGCTAGCTCTTGCATCTTGAATTAACTCATTTCTATTATTTTATACTGTACCATGAGGCTAGTGGTTTAACTGCAAGGTTCTGGTGCATCCTTCCCCAGTAGTGGCTACAAAGATGCCCTCTGACTCTACCGTCTTTCTCCCAGCATTCAGTTTAGTTTTCCCCGCCTACCTCTATTCTGCCCTGCCAGGCCCAAGACAGCTTGTTAATTATCCAATGGCATTCACAGCATACAGAGGGGAATCCCACATCATGCATGCACACACACAAACACGTGCACACACACACACACACACACACACACACACACACACACACACACGTACTTCCTCAAGTCACTTTGCCTAGTAGCAGGCAAACTCATGTCTCAGAGCATTGTCCAGGAGCAAGCTGAAGCTCAACTTCTGAGACTCCTTCTCTGGTCAATGTCTTCCCATTCCAGTTGATGTTCCTGGTAGAATTACTGTATTCTCTCATGAGAGAACTCCCTCCTCAACAAGTTGTTTACATAGCAGCAGCTCTTTCAGATTCTGCTTCCAGAACAGGCAATCCTATCTGACATAGATTTCCTAAGTTTCAGCAAGACATGTTTTTCATGTTTCTATTGGTTTCCAGATGCTTGGTAGCATTATGACCTAGAAACTGACCCACTGAACTTTCAGAACATATAGTTATGAAACTACAGGGGTGCCCTGGTGGGCTCAGAGAAAAGACAGGCATAGAAACAGACAATTATGAATGCTTAATCCATACATACATTAGAGTATGAGGAACACTGCCTAGGGTCTCACTGGATAGTTCACTGACCATGGGATATTGGCATTCATTCATGAAGAGATTGATATTAATTCATGAATACATGAAGATCATTTATTGAGGATATAAGATTTGTACTCAGTCATGAAGACTTGAGCATCTATAGACTTTGGTTTTTGTGAGCTGTCATGGATCAATCTCCTGAGCTACTAAGGGATGCTGTACATACACATAACTATAATCTGAGATCAATCACATCGTGAAAACTTAAAAAAATCACAACCAGGAAGTTGATGTAATTTTTTAAATTTTTTAAAATTTTCATTTACTTTCTAAGATCTTATACAGTACAACTCAATGGCATTTTTTTTTCAAAAGACAAGATAAAGTGATTGGATTTAAAGGACAGGATTATAGAAATAGTTTGTGGAGAAGATACAAGAATGGAACAGATCCTGCAAGGAGTCAGAACCAAATTAGAGATGCAGAGATGGAATGGGAACTCCTAAAGTCCAAGATGCTGCAGGCCTGATCTCTAAGAATCTACAATGGATAATCTGCACAAGTGTTGAAGAGACATGTTCGGAGTCTTCCACATCTTATACTTAGTAAGTGAGCAGGACACAGGAAGAGTAAGATATATAGAGAAAACAGACAGTGTAAGAGGCAAGAGTCTCTACAACATGAAAGGCACAGGCAGATTAAGACACTTAGAGAAGCCAGAGAATGTAAAGACAAGAATACAGCCTCTCCAAAGTGATGGGCTCATTCGTCAGTCAGACCCTGTATTATTGCTGACAGGATCCTTCTGGAAAAACAAAGATCATCCCTATCTTCATTCCGATGACTATTTCTGAATCACCCAGCTTTGTAAATTCCCTCAACATATAGCTGACTCTTTAACTCTTTTACCTATATTAAAGAGACTTGAATTCCTTGGTTTCTCAGATATCACCTCCTTGCTTAGGAAAGCAGATAGAAATTACAATATTATAATATCCAAAGGTAGGAAACTTGGGGGTGTAATGACCAAGGAAATGAGAAGTTGTTGTTAGTGAAAGCACCAAATATTTAATTAGTAAAAATAAAGCCAATACCATTGCTTGACTGTTAGGCAGGAGGAAGTAGAAAACACTGCTTACCTTGCCTTAAAGTCTTCATGCTTTGGTGTGGTGACTTCAATGAGCTGTTCCCTATATTCTTTGGTATTTGAACATTTAGTTTCCCAGTTGATAGCTCTCTTTGGGTAGGTTTAGGAGAGGTAGCCTTGTTAGTGGAACTATATCACTGAGAATGGGACTTTGAGGCTTCAAAAACGATACACTAATCCTAATTTTCTCTCTCCACTTCCCTTTTATGGTTCAAAATGAGAGTCCTCAGTGCTCAGCTTCCAGCTCCATCCACTATGTCTGCTTGATGCCATGCTTATTCTACTTGATGCTGAACCGTCTGAAGCCACAAGCCCAAAATAAACCTTCCTGCCTCAAGTTGCCTTGGTCACAGTATTTTATCACAGCAATAGAAACATTACTAAGACTCAAGCAATGCAAACTCTAAAGTATACTGGTGTGGGACAATGCTCTGTATTCTGTCAATTATATTTTAAATAAATGCTGATTGGCCAGTAGCCAGGCAGGAAGTATAGGTGGGACAACCAAACAGGAAATAGAGGTGGGTCAATGAGAACAGGAGAATTCTGGGAAGAAGGACGTACCTTCTGCAGTTGTGACCCAGCCACAGAAGAAGCAAGAGGTAACTGCCTCACCGAATAAGGTACTGAGCCACGTGGCTAACATAGACAAGAATAATGGGTTAATATAAGTTATAAGAGATAATAAGAAGCCTAAGCTAATGGGCCAATCAGATTCTAACTAATGTAGACCTCTGTGTGATTTTTTTGGGACTTAACAACTGTGGGAACTGGGCAGAACAGAAACCCCAACAACAGTATACTGATTTCCGAGGCTCATTTGAAGGTGACCAGGCAAGAGAAAAGGAAATGTGAGACGACATACACAGATACTGGCTGAGCTGTAAAAGTGAGATTGGAGTGCTTAGGTTGGATTGGCAAACTAAAAACACAAGTCAGAAGGGTGCCATCTCACACTCTCCTCTTGGAGATCTTCATCAACAGAGAAAACCCAGCTGGATGCACTGCTGTTTCTCCAATGTCTTCTAGGATATGGCCTCTGCATCATCATGGTTACTGAGGCAGGGCCAAATCCAGCCAATGACTATGACTACTCTCTCCCATATCCAAAGATGTGTATCATCTTGGCAGGAATGAGCAGGCTTACCTGGGAGATACAGGGACATTTCCTGAGCAATAAATACCTTTCTTGTAAGGATAAAGGGGAGGGGAATTGGATATGATCTCCTATGTACTACACAGTTGGCAGACATCCAAACCTTGAATTTCAAAAGCAGATGTGTTCACAGTTAGTCCATATTTCTTTTCTTGAGTGTGTCTTCCCACATGTCAGCTGCTGGAAGAGTCACATGCCAAAGACTCATAGCAACACCACCTCTGGATGATGGGTTTTACCTCACACTTCTTCACTTCCTAGACAGAAATACCTGTACCAACAGCATGCTTTGGCCCCCTGTGGCTCAAGACTGGGGTGCTTGTTGCTATAGGGTATATCTTGCTGCTTGACTCTTCTGCCTTCCCTCACTACTCTGAAGGGCTGTCCTTCCCCATGTTGATGGTAAAACACTGACACATCACAGGCATCTGTATCCCTGTCTCCGGACAGGCTTCTAGGAAACATGACCCAAGGCAAATGGGCTTTCAAGAACAAGGCTACCTTTGTTTCAAACAACCACTGACAGCCGAGTTTTTAGAAATAAAAGAAACTATCCACCAACAATATTCGTAATCCTAAAAACACCAGCAGCCAGAGATGTTTCTATTTGATGAAGACTCAAGACAACAGAATGGACCAACAAAGTCATGTAGCAATTATTCACAGCAACATCACCATCCCATCAGCAGATAAATGATCACACATCCTTTGATACTGAGTGATAGCAACATAACTCTTGAACCACATCATTAGATTTGGAAGTTACTAAAGATGCAACTCTGAGAGAAATGACTGTTCCCCTATCAGTGCAGTGAACTTAAGAACATCTGATGAGTCGGCTTAGTTAGTCAAGCGCTCGTCAGACTGTGACCTCCAGAAACTGTGTAAAGTAGGGGACGGGTGTGGCAGGGCACATTCAAAGTCCAGTTCTGGGAGGACAAAGATAGGTGGCTCCTTGGGGCTCACTAGCTACACAGCATAGTTTACTTGGTGAGCTCTAGGCCTGATAGAGAATTTGTCTCAAAAACAAATTGCTGATGGCCCCTGAGGAATGACACCTGAGGTTATGCCCTGGACTGCACACACCCTTCCATGCACATACATATGCTATTGCCTGATCCAGTATTATATGGGTCATGAATATTAAACAAGAGTCTTGTGTAATTAGCATAGTACTTGGCTCTCTCCAAATATTAATTTCCTTCTACTTTCTTACCTTGTCACTATCAATTAAAATTCCTTTTTAAAGTACTGGCTGCATTGTCCTTTAATCAACATTGAGATTTAATCTGAGGTTATTCTTTTATCATTGCTCAAGAGGATGTGATTACAGCAAGTAGCTACCGCACATGGCTTTGAAAACAAAATATGAAAAGTGGAGTGGGTTGGCGCAGTTACCTCAGAGGATACTTGTGGCTCTGCTCGCCAGCACCTGTGTCCCCCGTGGAGGTGGTCCCTCCATGTCTCCCTTGGAGGTTGTCCCTCCGTGTCCCCCTTGGAGGTTGTCCCTCCGTGTCCCCCTTGGAGGTGGTCCCTCTGTGTCCCCCTTGGAGGTGGTCCCTATGGGTTTTACAGTTCTTCTTCACTTGTATTTGGGCACCTGCTTCTGACTCAAGGAGACCATACAGATTTGTTTCCTGAAAACTGATGTCTTCACTGACCTCAAAATGGAAAGCAGTTAGTGTTTCTCAGTACTCACGACAGTCAGGTCCCCAAAGAGAGTCCTCCACAGCTTCTAAACCTTAATCTCTCAAGCTGAGCTTTTCTGGGAGAGAGTGTTTTTTCTATTCCATATCTTCTAATAAATTACTTTGATGACTTTGGAACAGGGATAGCTGCCATTGCCTACCACCACAGGACTCAACATACTCCGATGTAAACAAATAAATGTTGCAATGTCTAGGGCTGGAGAGAGCTTATGCATTAAGAGTATATATGCTTGTGGTGGTTTGGAAGAAAATAACCCGCAAAGGGAGAAGCACTATGCAGAGGTGTGGCCCTGTTGGAAGAAGTGTGTCGCTGTAGGAGTGGGCTTTGAAGTCACCTATGCTCAAGCTACACAGAGTGTTACTGTTCGCTTCCTGATTCCTGTGGAACAAGATGTAGAACTCTCAACATCTTCACCAGCACCATGTTAGTCTGCCAATTGCCATGCTCCCCACCATGACAATAATGGACAGAAACCTCTGAAACCATAAGCCAGTCCCAATTAAATGTTTTCCTTTACAAGAATTGCTGTGATCATGGTGTCTCTTCATAGCAATAGAAACCCCAAGACACTGCTTTTGCAGAGGATCTGAGTTTGGTTCCCACCACCCATGTCAGGAAGCTTACGATTGCCTATAACTCAAACTCCAAGAGACTCAGCGCCCTGTCTGGACTCCACAGGTCACTGCACCCATGCATGTCCACACATTTGCAAGCAAATATAAAATAAAAAAAATCTTTTTTTTTTTAAAAAGCAATGTGACAAAATCTTAAAAGACAGAATTTGATCTAATTCTAAAGTGGAGTGGTCTGAAATTTAGGCAAATAAAGAGAACATTCTCAATTTTATTCGAAGACTTCAATTTCATGTTTGTGACAATCTTGTCAGCTTGATATGATTTGAAGTCATTTTGGAGATACATCATATGTAAAGGCATTTCTGAATGTGGGTGTCCTATGAGCTGGGATCTTGGGTTGATTAAGAAGGAGAAGGTGAGCATTCATCTCTCTCTGCTTCCTGATTGTAGATGCGATGTGAAGAACCACCTCACACACCTGCTGCCTTGACCTTTTGCCATGATGGACCATGAGCAAAATAAACCTGATTTTCCTTGGGGTGCTTCCATCAGACATTTTGTCACAATGATGAAAAAAATAATTGATACCATGATTGATAGGCCATGTATTTGATGGACAGAATCATTTGATGGTTCTGATGCTATGGGATGATATATCTTAACTACAACAATATGCAGCAATAAAGATGATTTCCTATGACCCTAACATCGAACCCTGCACAGATTAGGTCTCCTGAATGGGCGCTTGCTTGCAGTTCCAGAGGGTTGGTCCATGACCAACATGGTGGGGAGCATGACAACAGTCAGACATGGTGTTGGAGCAGGAGCTGAGACCTTACATCTGACCTACAAGCTGGAGGCAGAGGAAGAGTGAGGTTTTGAAATCTGAAAGCCCATCCCCAGTGACACTGTCCAACAAGGCTCCACCTCTTCATCCTTCCAAAGACAGTTCCACTAATTAGGGACTAAACACTCGATTATCTAAATCTATAGGAGTCACTCTCTTTCGAAGCAACACAGTTTTTTTCACTTGTGAGGACCGTTTCTCCTCCAGGTATGTCTGCTACACATCCTGCTCACATCGCTCACACTGTTCACACTGTTCACACTGCTCACACTGCTCACCAGCATGCTGTCCTGCACTGGACTATACAGTGACATTCTTAGACTACACCTGCAAACTAGGAACCAGGGCCCCCACAGAGCTTTCAGCAGGATGACTGCTGATCCAGGGGAATGTGTGGCCATGGTCTTGCCACCTAACCTCCTGTGATATTCTCTGTTGGGGGATATTTGATCCACACTGTGTACCCAGAGTTTTCATTTGTATTAATTAAATAAAATTAACCTTGGGTCAGGAGGCTGAGTTAGCAACTAGTTGACAGAAAGTAATCATAGGGCTTCAGAGGACATCTGGGAGAGGGAGAACGACACATGGAAAGTAGTAGGGAGGGACTTTGAGTGGCGCGATTTTTTTTTTCTGTTTCTTGTGGAGAGGAAGGATGGGCTTTTGGGGAGATACCAGCAAGGAGAGAAGGTTAGCTAGGTGCTACTCAGTCTCTCTGAGCTAGCAGGTTTGTACCCCAATCCCTGAGTCTCCAAGTTTTATTTATAAATAGAAAAATGGAGATTTAGTTAAAGCTGTCTTTAGCAACAGAGACAGAGTCAGTGCCTGCAGGAGCAAAATTCCCCCAAAGCTGTAGCCTGAGAGTCTGTCTGCTAGCAGAGAAGCCAGCCTGTAACTGCCGAGCAGCAATTGCTGGCTAATAGCAGTAGGTTAGGGTGTATTCATTGTGCTGAAGAAGAAACAACAATTCTCAGTTATTTCACTTAGGTTTGGTCCAGAAGGAGCTCGGAATTCTCTCTACTAACAACTCCTATTCCTCTCTGTGTGTCAGAAGAGCTGCTTCAGCTCAAGTCCAGTTCATTGCAAACTTACTCGCTCAGTGAGCAAGTATTTACTGCTTGACTGTGACATAGAAGGTTCACTGTTGGCCTCAGGACAAACCTGAAAAAATAATCCCCACTCCTGCATGTGGGAGTAAATATGGGTGTGGGCTGGGAA